TCCCTTCTTTCTCTCAATTACATATTTTAGCTTCTACTGTGGACAAAAGAATGCATGCTAAGATTCCACGTGAACAGAAATCTTTGATCATAATACATAAATGACAAAAATAGTCTTAAGTCTGCGGTTCCCAAACTGAGCACCAGGACACTCTGAGACATCACAGTGAGCTCTCAGGGTGCTGCAAGGCATTTTATATATTTTTAAGGAAACACAGCAACATCAGAACAGGTTTTAATACAGAGAATTTTGGCATGAGACATGAACTTCTAGAGGAGGGATCGAATCATTCATCTTGTGCTGAGGTCCAGGGGATGCCTCAGATTTTAAGAGATACATGAACTGGACATAAAAGAATGGTAAGTATGAGAAATGAGCAAAGGATATTTTCTAGGAAATAGCTGTGCTAGGAGATGAGATGGTTTGTAGTTGGCTGGCAAGAGGTTGTGAAAGGCTCTGTCGGTCATGCAAAAACATTAGATTTTTACTCCTTTAAGTGATAAGGGGTGACTGATCAAATGTGTTTTAGGATAATAAGCCCTGTAATGGGATGGGTTGGGAAGAGGTTAGAACAGAGGCAGAGAAACTCATTAGGAAACAGTTTCCTTGGGCTTCTGAGAAGAAGGCCCCAGGGAGAAGAGATTGTGTGGCAGAATATGAAACACTGGGGAATGCCAACATGTTGGGGCCGAGAAATAAAGGAAGAAAAGGAAAATACTATATTGTACGTAGTTTTGCTCGAGATTAAGGCAGCTGCAGAAAGTAAAGAGAAGTGAAGAGTACCAAACGGCAATGCTTTTGTGCATTGAAGTCTCAAGAAAGGTGAATGTTTGATAGAGGGTCCTCAAAAGCTTGAGTTCAGTTTGGATAAGGTCAGGTTGATTTAGCATTTAATTTCATCCCTGCCCTAGATAACAGATCACTTCCTCCATGACTAACATTTCCTTAAGTCCCTTCGCCAGATATTTATTACACACTACAGTGTGATTAAAGCAATGCTCTCTGACTGTGAGATGCTTGGATCCCAGTCACAGAGGCAGACATGCAGATAAATTTTCCAGATGTTTACGGCATAATGTGATAAGAGTACAGAAGTGGTTTTGAGAGGGGTGGCCACAGTTACTATGTTCTTCTCTATTAACTTGCAATTCTTTTTGCATCTGGTAAATCATACGAGATGATTGCACTTGCTCCGTCTCTGCTATGCAGTTTGGCATTTTATTATAACTTTCTGACATTATCATATATATTGCTGTCATGTTTACTCACTTTTTCTTGTGCCTGCTAGAATCTCTGCTCTTATAGACACGTGTACCTCCCTTAGTCTTGCTTTCTTCCTCTGATCAAATTGGTCACCCTTGTTTAATATGTGTTGTAAAAGTTTGCAAATGTAATTAGGCAAACAAGCAGCTGCTATATATACAGAANAGCATTAGAGTTCTTTGTTTTTAGATCCAGTGGCGCTCACCCTGACCTGTCAGAAGTGCCCCATGTTGGACCTGACCAGGCTAAACCAAAACTGCTGGGTGACCTCATAGGGGAGAGCTCTTTTCCTTTGGGTCCTGGGCAACCAGGACAAAGAAAGCCTTACTGTGGCATACCACCTGTTTCTATATGATCTATTCTTCTAAGAACATTATTAAATTGATGTCTGTGGAAGATTGATGAAAATATGATGTACCAGCATGACTTCTGTTATGTATAGTGGTATTAATAACATTTTATTGAATCGGTACAATTACCTCTGCGGTTAGAATATCATGAGGGTAAATGTTTGAATTATACTAGGGATGATAGTTAATTCTTAATTCACTTTTAGTATAGTCTCCGAGTGTAATTTGGGTGTGTTCCCCTCGTGCTTTTAGAGTCACCTACCAATGCCGTTAAGTCGGTATGGCGATGTTTACTTTTATAGATCTCATGTGCAGGCCAAATCAGTAGAGAAAGTCTGTCAGCTGCGGTTTTAAACAGGAGTGTACTTCAAAAATGTGTCACACAGTTTCTTACCTCCCCAGGGGTCCTAATGCCCTCTACAAGTGACCGTGTACTTTTAAAGAGTCATTGATGTGCTGCTGGCTTTCTGTGACTAGAAGAGGCAGGGCTAAGCAGAAAATGAAAAAGTCTTGTTTGCAAAGGTAGTTGGGAATTGAGGGGAATTGAGAGGAAATATATAAAAGCAATCCCCTCGAGTTACAGTACAGCACAAGTTATTTATTTGAAGAAAGGTCTTTTATTTCCCTTGTGAGCTAGCAGTCTAGACCACAGCACCACTACACATCTTCTAGAGACTTGAACTTTCGGGGTTCCTGTGTCTGGCTGCTCCAAGTATTTGGCTTGTTGGAATTAGGAAAGTGACAGGTAATTCCTTCCTGCCCTCCTCTCCATGACTAACCAGGTTTTGTCTGTCACAAGGGCAGAGGGTCCATCCCCCTTTAAGTCAGTATCATACTTATCAGGGTCTGCACATGGCTGCTTCTGTTGTCACCTTGCCTTTTCCAAAAGAGTCGAAGGTACCCGGGCTGGTAAAAATGCCTTTAAATGGATCTGCGGGGTAATGCACCGTTCATAGCTCTCAGATGGTTTTACTTTTGGAAAGATTTTTATGGATTCACAAGGAAAAAAAAAGATCAGGAATGTCATTTTCAAATAAAAATAGTGACATTTTTCTATAGCCAGAGTTAAAATACTTTTGGCTTATAGTTTCATTTTGCATTCCACTTTGAGTAATTAATTGAGTATATTCCTATTAGGTGAAGTTCAGTGGTCCATTAAGCAGAAATAAAATACAACCGTGGCTTTTGAAAGTACTTCATTTTTAATTACAAAGTGGAAAAACTATAGCCTATAGCCATGGGATGCTTATGTAAATACTTTTCCAGAATTATGGAAGTTCGAATATTTTTCTATTTAAACTTGATTGTATCACTTAGTGAAATACAATTTATGAATATTGTTTAAAATACCGTGATAATGATTTCATCTTGCTCATCATTCCAACACAAAAATATGTTCTATTGTTAAGATATCCAAGTGGATTTTTCATTTTAGACTTTTTTTCATATAATCATTTTTTGTTTTTTTTTTAAACAAAGGTTTAGGGTGCAAATATATCTATCAAAAGAATGGTGATCCTTCGCATGTAAGTGAACTCCTGGAGAGTTTCAAAAAGGATGCAAGAAGCTTTAAATTGAGGGCTGGGAAACATCAGCTTGAAGATGTGACAGACGTGTTGAAAAGTTTTCTCTCTGACATCGATGATGCACTTCTTACGAAGGAGCTCTACCCATACTGGATCTCCGCTTTAGGTAATACATGTAAGATAGGCCATCATAAATGCTTGCTTTCTAATTGGATAGTAAGATTTTTTAAATCTTTGATAGTCTGAAAATTTAAGTGAAGGGAACAATGTACATATGGCTCAGAAGAAAAATTTGCAAATATTAATAATTGTTTATATCTACCTCAAAAGAAATGTATAGTAATACTAGTTAAGTAATGTTTTATATATTTAGTTATTGGTAGATCTCTTAGTGTTTACTGTGCTTGAACTTGGGAGATGTGATAGTCAAGTCCATGTGTGCTATTAATTGTTATTAGGATTAAAATGAAAGGTGTAATACAAGATTGATTTTACGAGACTTCCCTATATGGTTCTTTTGGCATTATCATTTATTCTTCCTCTTTAGAGTACATAAGGGTAATTTTTCACTCTTTCTTCATTTCCCCTAGATTCTGTCTAATGAAGCTAAAAAGCTTTGCTACAGTGTAAGAGAATGTATTTAAGAAATGATTTAAGTAGCTTATTAAATGACTAATTTTATCAAATCGATTTCAGTAAACCTATATTTATATCCATTCAAAACAGCTCCTTTTTTAGAAACATTATAACAATAAAGACTTTAAAATATAAACATTGCCTTTAATCCCATCTTTCCGGTAGAGCTATTTTTATTTTTCATGTTATTATATAGCCTTTGCCCCCACACCTATAATTTATATATAAATCTTTATTTTATTAATAAACCACATTTTCCATATATGTATAACACTTTCAAACTGAAGATTTCCAATCTTCATTTTTTCAATTTTTAAAATGTATCATTGAATTATACCATAATTTACTAACATATTTCTCTCTTGCACAATTAATCTGTTTCAAGATTTTTTTGGAAAATGACCTTGAATTTGACTCTACAGTATTCCTGTTGAGAAATA